ATCTAGTGGCTCCTCTATATTATTATTTCCATATGTAAACTGAAGGAAAATAAAATCACTGCAATAAAAACAAAGTTCTATTTAAATGTATTAAAATAATAAAATAGTTTTGCCTTTATATTTTTAGGAAACTAAATATAAGAAATATTTTTTCTAAGAACAAGAAAACTGTGAACAATTTTTTTAGACTCTTAGTAAATTTGTTATGAATTGTGTTTTCAGTTTATGGAAACATATGTAACCCATTGCATCCTAGGATCTAACAACAATGTTTGCAGACTGTAGATGCTTTGCTTTTATGGTATTTATATAAATTGTACCTTATATCTATATCTTTTTAAAAATTTTATTTTGACACAGGGTGTCACTAATTTGCCCAGGCTGGACTCAGCTTCCAGAGTAGTTGGGGTTACAGGCATGAGCCACTGTGCCTGACTATGTTCACTCCTTTTATTTATTTGTTTGTTTGTTTTTGGTACTGGGGATTGAACTCAAGGGCACTTGACCACTGATCCACATCCCTAGCCCTATTTTGTACTGTATTTTAGAGACAGGGTCTCACTGAGTTGCTTAGTGCCTCGCCATTGCTAGGGCTGGCTTTGAACTCACCATCATACTAACTCAGTATAGCAATCTGCTGGGATTACAGGTGTGCACTACCACACCCAGTTTATATCTATATTTTGATAGCTAAAATTGTCACATCTTTACAATAAAGGAATTGAGAAAATGTAGATGCTACATGTTTTGCAATGTTTTACTAAATTAGGTATATCCTGAGAGTTGGGAAGAAATTAGAGGAGAGAGTATCACTAAAGTACAATATCCTAGAAATGTGGGTACATCTTTTATCTTTGAAGTAGACTATGCAAAGCAATGCACTTCATCTCTGTTTCATCAGGATCTAAAGTAGCCCCCAAAATAAACCAAGCAAACAAACAAACAAACAAAAAACAAATAGTAAACACAATATGCTTAAAAATGTTGTGTAACCACATTTTTGAAATATGACATAACAAGGATTTATTAGTCTAAAGGCTGAATCTTAAGCTTATAAGACAGAGTATACTTATATCTTCTTATGAAATAATTCATGTATGGCTACTCCTGAGGTGCTACACTCACATTTTCTAGGTGTGAAGTTCTCACATTCTCTAGGTGATAGAGCTAGGATTTTGTGGTGTCCCCCAGAAGCTCATGTGTGACATAATACAAGAATGTTCAGAGATCAAATGATTAAGAGAGCTGTGCCCTAATCATTGGATTAATCCACTTGAGTGGATTAACTGAATAGTACCTGTAGGCAGGTAGGATGTAGCTGGAGAAAGTAGGTCACTGAGGGTATGTATGACTTTGGGATTTTATTTTGTCCCTGGTGAGTGGAGCTCCCTTTCTGCTTCTAAGTTGTCATGAATTGAGTAGCTTTCCTTTGCCAGACCCTTCCACCATATTGTTCTGACTCACCTCAGGACCAGATCAATGGGATTGACAGATCGTGGACTAACCCTATGAAACTATGAGCCAACATAAACTTTTCCTCTTTTAAGAAGTTCTTGTGAGGTCTTTTGGTCACAGCGACACAAACAAAGCTATTAAAATGCTAGGCAATCAGTCATCAGAGACAGTCTAGCTCACACATGCCATAATACTCCTTGATCTTGTGTGTTTATCACATTCCTGTTTGTGGTTTCTGAAAAAGAAATCTTGAAATTCAAGTTGTATTTTATGCCTGTTTTCAAATATGAAGAGATGTTGTGCTTTGGCCTCTTTCTCACAGATGATAATGATTTTTTTCAGACTTTAATAAACCTTGAACTTTGTCCAAGTTTGACCCAAATCTTGACCAAGATTATTTTTTAAGAGTCTGAAAAAATAAAAATATTCAAGAACCATTTATTGAAACCCATCCCTATATATGTCTTAATTTTACCCTATCTAGGTATAGAGCCAATGAATATATGTTCTTAATATCTGTTTTCCAATTGTCAATTCAAATTAATCCCTTAGTCTTTTTTTTTTTTTTAGAAAGAGTGAGAGAGGAGAGAGAGAATTTTTAATATTTATTTTCTAGTTCTTGGCGGACACAACATCTTTGTTGGTATGTGGTGCTGAGGATCGAACCCGGGCCGCACGCATGCCAGGCAAGGCGCGCTACCGCTTGAGCCACATCCCCAGCCCATCCCTTAGTCTTTAAACATTTTTAAAGTGCATTTCCATATGATTCTTGATATTTGTTTTGAATATATTCCTTATCATTCTTTCTGTTGCTTTTGTCTTTCCCTCTTCCTTTTCTTATCTGTCTCTGAACATCTCTGATTTTGTAACTTTTTTTTCTCTTCTATTTTCCTAATCTATGTGGTAGACATCGAGGCTAAGAAAATGATATCTGATACATCTGCCATGACTTCTATCTTAACATGATCTTATTCAGCAACAAAAATCACCATACAGTTTATGTATACTTATTTTATATGTGGATAAAAAGTTACATGAAAACAGATTAAGTAATTTGTCCAAAGTTATTTGGAAAGTACACAGAGCTAGAATTATTCCTTAATTCATTGGTCCAGTAGTCTTTCCCTATTTTCACCTTTAGTTCCTAATTAGTCTACCATTGTACAATCATAATCATACTATGTTTACACTTCTGAAAATTATTTTCAGTCATAATTTGAAGTTGAGACTTGTGATGATTCCTATCTTAGTGATGGTGAAATTGAATCTTTTTGTTTACATATTCCCTGATTTTAAATTCACCTTCCTCAAATAAACTATAAGTTTTCAAGTGAGATAGATACTTTTGTGTTTGTGTATGCTGGGGCTCTATCCTGTGGTCTTTCACGTGCCAGGTGGATACTACACCATAGTACTACATCCTCAGCCTGAGATGGACACTTGAATAAGACCTTATCCTTTCAAATGTTTGTGTTTACTTGTTTCCCCAAAGAAATGTTTCTTTCTCTTATGGCAAATCTAAAAATACAGCAGGAGGTTAAAGTAGTTGTAACTCAGATGGAAGGGAGTCGAGGTAAAATGTCGGTTTTTGTAGCTTTTCTATTGCATCAACAATACTATTTCTGAAAGCTTAGATTCTCTACATCTTTCAGCTTTTAAATTCAGTGGTCCTTATAGTTGAAAATGTTTAGTTAAATTTTCGCCTTTATTTTTTAAAATTTTATTTATTTTACTCTTTTTTGGGGGGTGGGTGGTACCCAGGATTGAACTCAGAGGCACTGAATCACTGAGCCACATCCCCAGCCCTGTTTGTATTTTATTTAGAGACAGGGTCTCACTGAATTTTTTTCACTTTTGCTGAGGCTGGCTTTGAACTTGTGATCCTCTTATCTCAGCCTCCCAAGCCACTGGGATTACAGGTGTATACCGCCATGCCCGGCTTCACCTTTAATTTAATTACTTTTCTTATTCTTATTGATTCCACCAACTTTGTGGTAGCTGCTCACTTTTGCACTGTTTGTGCTAGGAGCATGAAGATAGCAGGTAAAAGCAATAACAATCTTGTGCAGCTCAGTGTAGTTCAGTAAATCTCTCTTCCTTGAAAGTTTCCACTCAGCTTTCTGCACAGAAAAAAAATCTATTCCTATTTTTTTTTCCATTTTTGAGAGGTCCTAATCTCTTTTGTTTTCTAGCTTCCTCTTGAGATCCATCTAAAAATTTGATTCTTCAAACACTACGTTTTTTTTCTTCACTTATACTACCTTTGGGTAATTTCATTGACTTTTCTTGTTTCAACTGTTAATTATATCACCTGTTCTTCCAAATTTGTTTGTCTTCCTACAAGCTAGGATTAATTAACCCAACTGTTTTTGTGCTGTGCAAACATAGGCAACACACACGAGCTTCAAAAAATGTCAAAATTGAACAAATTTTACTACTCCCAAGGTTTATTTATTTTTTAATTTTCTCTCTCTGTGCACAGTATTGATTTTGATCTATTAAACTAACCAAGAGTCTCGAACTTCTTAGAACCTAGGGTCCTAATTTCTTATTCTTTCTACTTATCCTCTGTAATAATTAACCTCAGCGTGAAGTCAGCGTGACTGTCCTAGGCAGGAATTTGCCAGCCCCCAACTTGTTCCTGGCAGAGCCACAGGAGTGGGGGCCTGCATACTTCAACCTGGCAGAAGGTGGACTGCAGCTGCTGGAAGTAATAAACCTCGGGCTCATAGCTGGCTTCATGAACTTCTGATACACATGTTAGGCTTGGGACGATTATGAGTGGTCTCCTTGAAAAAGCATCTTATCTGTACTTGGTCCCCATGAGTATTTTGCGTCAGAGTCACTTTGATGGCCTGAGTAATGCCATTCTCCTTCTGGCCAAGTCCTTTGCCTTGCTCCTCAGCTTTAGCAGCTGCTCCTCAGCAAACTTTATCCCATGACTCTTGACCTCTGGGGTGATGTTCATGGTGGGCAAAGAGGCTCGGCTTTCACCAGAGGAGAAACTACATCATCCTTTTAAGAGGAAAGAAGAAAATGCCCATAGCAGCCACGAACCCTACTGCTCTTGTAAGAATTCTCTTTCCTGAGCCCCTCATTGAGAGGTACTTTCCTGGAAACATGTGCCACGCCTGATTCGGGCGCCGCCATCTTCCTAGAAATCGCCTTACCTAAATATTTTCAAAGGCTTCTCGTTTTGGAGATGAACCCCAATCTCCTTAATCAGATATGCATAATGTAGACTCTTACAAACTAGTTCCTTGTATTTTGCACTCTGTTGAAGCTGGAAGGTTTTTAGTGTCATATACATATCATCTGCATCACAGGTGCAAACTGGATCCTTCCCAGGGTCCTGCTGCACATGTCTCACTTCTGTCCATAAGTTAACATATTTAGCAGCAAGCCTAAGCTGATATGCCATATTTGGCTGGGGTTTCTCTTCTGTAATTTCTTAATACTGTCTGTGTATTACTACTGACCATCCACCATACATCAAAATTAATATCTGTCTTCATCCCCATGCTTTCCTTATCTATTGCTAATAGACTGTGGAATGTGTGAAGACTGGGACATCCAGTACAAAAGCGTTGTGGCCCATGCAAGGTAAGTGAGCAAATATTCCAGGAATAAGAAATTGCAAATCACAAAAGTGCATTCTAGGTAATACTTTATTACAAATACATTTTAAACATCAGTTTGGTCATGCCATCTCCCTGCTCTCTTTTCTCCTGTGTTAAGAGTTAGTCCTTCTGTACCTTTGCCTAAAAACATCTCCCAGATCTTGCTTGGCTTACTTCTTCTTTTCTTTATGATTTTTGTCCAAATCAAAGAAGTTTTTACTGACCTAGGTCGCATTCTATTTTTTTCCTTGCCTCATTTTATTCAAAGCTTAATGCAACCTGATATATATCAAATATATATAGTTTATTTTATTTATTTGTGCTTCACCCTGAGTTCACCATACTATAAGTTCCAAAAATTTAGGATTTTAAGTAAGATGTTTACTGTTATATTAGTGGCATTCAGTTTTATGGAATTATTGTGATAAATGGATGAAAAAAAATAGATACAAATTTGTTTAGTTTTTTTCCTGGTTTTAATGAAATGTGTAATTTTTGAAACATTACTAGAGAAAATATCTCTAGAAAAGGCCAATAAATTCACCTTGATGATCGTATGTAAAGTGATGGTGTTTATAGATAGGGAAGTGCTGCTTGGAGCATCTTTCTTGATTTGCCAATGTCTTAAACTGACACATGGGAGTGTTTTTCCTATTTAGTGAATAACAAGGTTGTGTAGAGATTTGGGTATACGCTCAAATTGTTAATACAACAAAGAATTGCTAAAGGTTCTTGTGCATGGAACAAGAAATAGTGTATGTTCTTCTAAGATTTATCATGATTGGAAAGGCAGGATGTATATACAAAAATGAGTGAAAAATGAATTAACTCTTATTGAGCACTCAGTACATGATAAAGGAAGTGCACTGGGATTCACACACCCTGTTAGAATTTCCTTAATTTTTGTTTTGGCCTACTATGTTAGGTATTCTAATGTTACTTTTAAATATGAGTATCAAGTCAAAATTCAAAGAGGTTTGAAATCATAAGACTCTGATCTCATAAATAACAAATCTAGGTTAAGAAATGCAACAAACATATTCATGTGTATCTATACATATATGTTGAATACATTGCTCCTGATTTAGTACAGTTTGAGTATGTATTCATATCTGGGGAGTCTGAAGTCAGAACACTTGCTTAAAGTATTATCACACCCAGTTATTACTATTTTTATTAAATATGTACCAATACTGTCTATTGATTACATATAAATCTTGCTGGGGATTATTTCCCATGTTATCATAGATTGTATAAAATAATTACAGAAAATGAATATAAGTAGAGATTTAAGGGAAATCTGTATCCCTAAATCAATGAGTTTTACAGAAAAATATTAATTATAAAATAATATGTTAAAATTATCCTTGCTATTAGAATTCATTTGTTAAATTTTAATTGTATGTGGACAATTAGAAGGTGATTCTATCTAGATGAATAATCAAGATCTGCACAAAACTGGTAAAAAAAATCAGATCATCATTTATTTCAATTCTTTCTGTGCATGCTTTTGAATCATTGAGATAGTGATCTTGTGTCCAAGGAGATAAGGAAATAATATTAATTGAAAAATTTTAAACATAGCATGTATTTGAAGAAATTAATAAAACCATACAAAAATTCTGTTTGTCATTAAATGTAATTTATATATGAAATAATAGTTATAGTATAATTTTAGAGAAGGTATTGTTTTCTTATTTTAAGGGAGGATACTCTGAAGTACCCATACAATTTGGAGATTCCAGGTTTAATAGAGGTATTAATGAAGTATGCATTTAGTAGATATTTGGCTATTGTTTAGAGGTTAATATCAGTACCAATGCAATATTCCCAATCTATTTTACAAAGTGAATACTCTCCCTGTAAGTAGTATTTCTTTATCCAGTGTACTTAGGGATTGCTCAAGTTAAGTTTTCTTTATTTTAAAGTGATCATATGAAAGAAAATTTATTTTAAATCTTTAGGAGTGGCTCCTTTCCAGCATTATGATTCACATTGAAAACTAAGCATTTTTATTACCCTGAAAGCACAAATTTTTGGAATCCTCTTTGTTTAAAGTCTAACTACATGATTCAAAGTCGACTGGTAAGGACTGCTTCTGTGCATAAGGGTAGGACTGTTTGAATCTTCTCACTCCCTGATGGTTAGGATTAAAACCAAATCTGTAGAGACTATTACTGCTGCCACAAGTGCAGGGATGTGGAAGTGCAAATAGAGATGTGGGTGATATACAGATAAACAGCTGCCATGGAGGATGAATGCAGTAGAGAAGCCAAAGTGAATGCCTGACACTTCCTTGCTCTGCCAGGGAGAAAAATGATTTTCAACAAGTTGAGTTTGCTTGCTGTGGCATAGGGATGTAATTCCAAGGAAAACAGCAGGCCACATAAGATGCTGACATCTGAAAATGGGGCTGGAGAATTGTGCTCTACTTTGTGTCCACAACCAACTGGCTCAGTGAGTCACTGGAGGATAACAGTTCAGCATGTTTTACTAAATCCTATTCTGCATATGCCTGCATTTTGAAGTAGGTGAAAATTGTGCATCTCTTAGAAACATGCATTTTTGTCTTCTCCCCAGTTTAATCCCTGCTCGGGAATTTTACCTAGCTATTATTTAGATTAATGTATTTCTGCTCTGCTTAGTCACCCTTCCCATGTCCAGCTGCTTCAACAAAATGATCAATTTTGTGTGGAAGCTAGATAATGAAAAGAACAAAATTTAAGTTATTTTTGGCTCTTTGAAATGTAGTGTAGTTAATTTGATTGATTGCAAAAAATAAATTGTTAACATGACTTTAAAATCCTAATTATCCAGGTTATTCCTGATTTGGCCGTGTCAGAGGAGGTAAAATTATTAGTTTCTTAATAGAAAGCTAATCTCTTAGCTATATTGCATTCAATATTTTTATTGCATGAAAAAATAGATTCAATTATCTTTACTATTTTTATTTATTTATTATTATTTATATTATTTTTTTCAGTTGAGGTCATATAACTAATTCCTAAATAACTATTAGTAAACTCATCATTTAGATGGTTCAGAGAAAAAAATGATCATTTTCTCTGTTTTTGGAACAGGAAATATTTTGTTAACTCATTAAATAATACATGTATACATATAAAATTTAAATATATTAATGTGCCCTTAATTTTAGAGTTTTCTAGAACTCTAAAATCTTATATGCAATATACTGCACTCAGTGGTTTACATGTATTATCTCCTTAAATCTTCTCGTCAACTCTATTATGAGGGAAAAATTTAATGTGGAATCTGTGGCAAAGAATCACCAAAGTAATGCACTTCTTCTGTGATGAAAACATAAGCCTAATGTTATGCATTCCAAATAGAAAGTTGATATATGACACTTATGATCTACATTTTCATAAAGAATTTGAGAAAAGATGTATTTCCTTATTGGTGATGTTTCAGACATTTCATAACTGAGATATTTCAAGAGAAGAAATCTTCATGCAACTTCAAAAACAAAAATAGTGACCTCTCTATGAACTTCTCATCATTTGTTCTCATGTACATGATACTAGGTAGCACTCAAAAGTCAATTCATATAAAATAGCCAATGCTAAAAGTCATGGCTGTATTCATCAACCAACATTTAGTGCCATATTAACAATCTGGCATTTTCAAGATTGTAGCTACATCATATATGCTTTCTAAACTACTTTTTAATATAAAATTTAAAATATTTCCCCAATATTAGCATTTCTTCTGCACTTTCTTCATTTACATGCCAGTGGCACCACAGGTTGATTACATTTTCTTTGTCATTACCACACGTCTTCATTTTTTCTCTTGGCTTGCATTTCTTAAAATACAACTATCAATATAGTCATCTACACAGTGACCTAAACTAAAACCAAACCAAACCAAACAAAAAAAAAAAAATGGGACTTATTTTCAACCAGTCCTTTTCCTATTTCTTCATTCACTTAATTATCTAAACGTATAATTCCTTTTCCAGTATTTGAAAATGAATTTCCTTTGTTTTTCCTCCAAACTCACTGATGTTTTATTTGATGTCCTATCACTACTTCCCTAAGTTCCAATATCTTCCTTGTCATGTACAATTACCATTTTGCTCATGTTAATGACATAAACAACATAGTTGAAACTGTGTTTAATAGGTTATTGCTGCACCAAGTTGTATGTGATCATTTGTTGTCAATTTCTTATAAATATTTCTCAGATGTGTTTTATTGCTTTCAACTAAGTTCTGAAAAAAAAACATTTAGTAGAGCTTGCTTCTCACCTGTTTTAAGATGCAGAGGTTGTTCTGCATTTGGAAGCTTGCATTCCAGCTGTAGGAGTGCAGTCTCCTTTGTGAATGACAGCATTTGCGATTTAAGTCCATCTGGAACACCTCAAGCATTCAATTCATTTATTAACTTATTACCAAGCTTGGCATATGAATTCTCAGAATTTCAGTGAGGCAGGAATTTAAATGAAATTAGATAAACAGACTTTAATAGAACAGTATGTGTATTAGAGATATTGAAAAGAGTTTCCTGTTTTTCATTTTTAGGAGTGCCTGTCTATTTATCTCTTTGATGCCGGATTACTATTAATTAGCTTTACCCTAAATTTGCAATAGATTTTTAAGACTACTGTAGATAAGAAGAAATGAAATAACTCTTGTGGCCAGAAGAGGGAGATCTTGTAAAAATATTTGAAGCACAGGTTTAAAATGATTTTTGATTTGCACTTAATTCAGTTAAAAAGAAATTATTCAAGTTTCTGAAGTTAATGTTTTCAGTAATTAGATGAATGCATTTTGTAAACTATTTCTTGGGAAAGTGGAACTAGCAATTTACATTTATATATATGTATATAAATATATATATACATATATAATATTCAAAGTATATGCTATATAAAAATTAATTATAATACTAATTATTAAATTGATAAAACATAAAATGGTAAAAATAAGACAAAATTATTAGTAGTAAATAGTTTGTCTTATTTATAAGATTGTTATTCATTTCTTTAAATAAATTTTTGTCCTTTATACCATGAATACTACAAAAACAAATCTAAATATGACATAATGACATAGAAAAGAACAATTTAACATTGATTGTTTATCAGTAAAAATAATTTTAGCATTGATTATATATCGCTAATAATCAAATGTGTGTGGTAGTCCAAATGTATACACACATATAAGTATTTGAGCTACTGTATATATTCTTCTCTGTGTCTCTCTCTGTCCATCTGTCTCTGTTTCTCTGTCTTACATGTGTGTAGAGTATTTATGCATATATATTTGTATTATGATATGTAACCATTTAGTTTTACTCCTCTCCTAGTTATAAAATATATAAAAAAACAACCACAGATGGGGCACTAATTGTGCCACCTGGAGGGTTTCACTTGATGAATTTGTGATATGATATGAGGAGAAGTTTGTCACTGATTATTATTAATTTTCCCCTCAATGAATTAAGAACCTAGGAATTGACATTTGTTTTGAGTACCACCAGTAACACTTGCACATCTCCATGGGCACTTCCAAAATGCATGTCCCTCTTTTTTAATGAAAGCTGTATTGTTAAACAATATTAGTATTATCATCAAATATATGATCAGCTATTGCCATATATATGTATCATTCAGCTTAATGGGTAGACTCACATATATATGTATATACACACACATATACATATGTGTTCATTCGTCAATCAGAATGATAGACAGATATGTATAAATATAGAAATATGTATATATCTGAATATATGCTTATTTGTTAAGCTGAATTATAATATTTTCTTTCTTGGGTTATTAGATCTGGCCCTATGGGCTCTTCTGTATTTTTGAACTAGCATGTTACCTTCCTCCCAATCCTGAACTAGTACCTGGAACTCCAGAGCAAGATTATGGGTACTTGCTGTTATGAACAAACTTCTTCATAGTCTTCCAAACTAGAGAAAGTTGCAGTTGTTAGTTTGCTTATAATACTTGAATACTTTGAGTACTTGGTGCAGGAATCTGTTTTTAAAATTTATAAATTAAACACTGATTTAAGTCTATGTAGTTCTGGAATCAATGTAGCTTTTCTTCCACCTACCTAAAAAATTAGCCTTCTCTACTGGGGAAGCAATGTGTTGAAATCTTGTTTACAAAGATTATGGGAGCTGACAATAGATCTCTTTCTATGTGGTGTAATTTAATCTAAAAATACTCAACTTTACATTGCTAAAACATTTCTCCAACTTCTTCTAAAAATAATTTGTATATTTTTCTAATGTTAAATGTTCTTGAATTTGAATGGCTGTCGTTATTTTCCATGTCACATCGTTTATTTTTCAAGGTAAAAAATTATTTCTGTCAAAAATTCTCCAGAATACAGAAAAGTAAAATATAAAAATGAATATCTTGGACATCAAATGTGGGTTACATGTCTACAATCCATGTCTCTGGCATGCAGAAAGTTTAGTAGGGGGAACACACAACAGGATGACATTGATACATAAGTACCATATGTAAAATAATACACACACTGAGTGTGTTAAATACATGTGCAATCAAAGTATAAAAGCATATATGAGATTAATAAGCAACATAATGATATGAGTTTTCTACGGAAACAAAAATTTTAACTCTACATTAGGTAACATTTAAGTTAGGAAGTAAATGCAGAGATATTTAGAGTGCTTTCTACCTAGTAGTGTCTTAAATGTTACATAATAAATATAATTAAGCATGTATAATGTTAAGACAATATTTTCTTTGTGTTTTGCAGTTTCCTAGTTTTCCATGTAAGATTTGCTTTCCATTTTAAAGATCCATTGAAACAGATCTGCAGGACAAGATAAAGGTCACCAACCTGAAACCTGAAGAATTACATCTCTTTCTACACTTTTTTTTTTTAGTTGTAGATGGACACAATACCTTTCTTTTGTTTATGTGGAGCTGGGGATCGAACCCAGGGCCTCATGCATGCTATGCAAGCACTCTACCACTGAGCCACAACCCCAGCCCTACACTTTCTTTTTGAAAATAAGGAAGAACAATACGAAGGATGGAAGAGTAGCAGAATTTTTATCATTCCATTGTAGAAGAAAATTTGTAATGTTACTTTTTAAAATTGTACTTTCTTTGTCTCTAGGCATTTTAAAGAATATGATTCAAACCATCTCACACAGCCATCTGCTTTAATACCTCTGTCTAGCATTGCCAGAAAAAAATCAACCATTTGATTGTCCCTAAGAACATATTAAGTTGGGATCTCTTTGTTTTGAAAATATATATTATCATGCAGATTCAATAGAATTCATTGGAACCCCTAATAACCATTGGTATTTTCTTCTTAAGAAATTGTATTTTGTTTCTTTCCTTAGCCCATTATCCTATTTATAATTTCAGAGGCTACATAGCTTCCCCTGATTAGGGAATGTATGGATGCCAGTTCAAGTCTAGTAACTTGTAAGTTTTTGGGTATGCTTCAATGTGTGTCTAACTTAGCCTAATAATTTGTTGAAGTAAATTCTGCTTTTCTGATGGACCCTGCTTCTTTTTTATTGGCTACTTTTGGCATGCACTGTCATTTTTATTCTATAGTCACTACAAATCTGGGAGATATCTGTGAAGTTCAGCTAGATTCAGAAAACTATCAATAATGAGAACAGATCATTCATTATGTGTGATTAATTGTATCCTGAGTGTTGCAGAGTTATGGATAGGAGTAAGCTAATTATCTACAAAATAAAATATCTACATTTCTTCCCCTGTCTTACCTATGGGGTAATTATCAAAATTAATTTTTTATGGTGCAGAACCTTCTTTCCAGGTAGAAAAGTGGGTTTGTGACAGTTCAACAAAGAAAATCTTCACAGGTAGACTGTGTGTGTGTGTGTGTGTGTCCATTAGCCCTGGGAATATACTACATGATAATTGGATATCTTTTTAAGAAAGAATAAGAGATATAATGTGTATCAAATAAGAGACAAGTATATTTAATTTGTGAATTCCCATCAATAATTTTCTGTCAGAAAAGTCATTATAATAATAGTTCATTATTATAGTCAATATATAATAGTTCATTATTTTTTTCTCTTAGCTTACAGCAGGTTGTTATAAAATACAACTTTAAATTTAATCTTATAATTAATATGATTGTATTATTTCTCAGAATATTTTTTTCAGTGTGAGTTTTGTTAGCCTTTCCAAACAGTTTTTTTCCCATAAATACTTGTTACTCTAGGAATTTTGGGCTTGCCATTAATATAAGATAACTGAGTTTTACTACAAAAGAATTATATAAGTGAAAAGAATGTACTTTAATCTTGATTTACTACCCACTATCAACCACTTTGAGGGAGTATATTTATGTCTATGCAATAATGTTCCATCAACAGAACAAGGGGGTTAATTTGACCAGAGTTCCTATTTTAATTTTTAAATTTCAAAGCAAACATGCAAGCACGTTAACACAATATAAACTACATAAATATACATACAAAAGACTTAGTGCATTTTTTTTTAAGAGATAACTTTTGAAGCTCTGATGTTGGAGAATCTACCTGAAGAGATAGGGTGTATGAGCCTATCTCATCACAGCACTGGGAGGAAAAAGCAAGAGAAAATGAAAGTCAATACATTCCTTAATGAAGTGAATAAAATTGTATGTATTCATGAGACTCAAAAAAATGACACCGTGAATTTGGCACAAAGAAGATACTTGCAATAATTCATTTTCTTCTAAAGTTCCTAATTTGTTTCTCCCTTTCCTTCCCTCTTTTCTCTCATTATTTCAATAGTTGATTTTCTTAACATTTGTGAAAAATTCCTGTTTTCTGCTTTCCTCTGTGTATTATAGAAAAAGTAGGTTTTTTCAACTCAATTACATTTTAAATTATTTTATTGTCAGAATTTATTTTAGATTTGTACATAATAGTAATAACTATAATGTGGCTAGCTATTTATTGTAAGTAACTTCAGATAAATAAGTAATTGACCATCTATCTTATATTTTATGCTATTAAACGTTTGCTGTTAATGATAGTTTCACTTATAAAATTATTTTAATAATCAAATTTGACATATTGAGTTTTGTTCACCTTAAATTTGACTGTTTCTGTTTTGTATATCTATGAAAATTATCTACATTTTCTTAATTTTAACCTGACATAACATGAAATGTATTTAAGAGAAGGAAAGATATATAACAGAATTGTCAATATGATTTATCATTATCATTAATTTTTCTTCTCTGTTGCAGAATTTTCTTGTTTTGGAATACTGTTCTTACAACATCAATATTTAATGTTTATATGATTCATTCTGCAATCTGTATTTGGGGTAAAAATGGGAGTTCATAACCCACTTGAATCTAATGTATGAAATATGATATATCAAGAGCTTTGTAATGTTTTGAACAATCAATAAAAAAATACTTTTAAAAGCTATGTTTTGGTACCATTAAAACACATTTTTAAAAAGTGTATAATTGGAACCTATTATCAAGGAATAGAATTTAAACCAACATAAAAATGTATAGCCAATATCAAAGTTTAATTGTAAAATTGAGCACATACTAGTTTTGATTAATGTCAATAGACTTACCTTATGTTTAAGTCTATAGTTATAGCTATCAATATCTGTCTCTCTCTTTGCGTCCACAGCTAATTGCTTTTTAAAGCAAATTTTACTTGTGTCATCATAAAATGGTTTTAAAGCAAGAAAGAAACCCAATAGCAATCATTTATTATCTAGTTTGCACCACCCACTAAAATCAGGCAAAAAGAATTCAGTGCAGTGCCTTCAACATATCTGTATTCCTTGTGTCCAATCTAAATTCATTAATTAGTTCTACAGTGTTCTCATGCTTGTGTTCCTTGGACTTTTCTTTATAGAAAGAAATTAGCTACTATATTTCGTGTAGACTTTACAAACTCACATAAATTGACTAATTTGATAGAGCAGTATTTCTTCAAGTTGACTATTAGTAACCTACTTTTTACAGAGAAACAAACTAAGGATACCTTATTTCAAGAATTGACTGCAATCACAGACCTAGAATGACCTGTGATGCCAAATAAAGCCAGTTTGATTTCATATTTTGTTGCCTTTATCCTACATAAAGTATATACATTTTCTTTCATAGAGCCAAATTGAAAACTTCTATTGAGATAAACAAAACTCATTTCAAAGACCAAAGTTTCAATAGTAACATAGTATAACAAGCATAATACATGATGAAGAAAATGGTTGCATGTTATTGCAGCTAGATGTGTATGTATGTCTTTATGTTTTCCAGAGAAAGCTTTTGTACAGAGATTCACTTAAACACACTTTAGAAAAAGAAAGTTAAGGTGCTGTGAATAGGAGAAGGTTAACCTTGAAGTGAAGGAGAAAGCATTTGGGCTGCACAGCTTCATCACTGTCCATTTATTTGCCCTCAGGTAACTTTTTATATTCTATAACCTCAAAGGCTATTCCAAATGAGTCCCATTGTTCCAGTTCATTTCCCAGATAAACATTATAAAATGAAATTCCAAACCAGTGACTTTGATTTCTGTTTCTTTTGTTCTACTTTTTATCCCTGTTTGAATAGTGTTTTTCTTCACAATGTAAGACATCTCTATTCCCAATGCTATTGATTTTCATTGTCCCTGCTTTCTGTATATTATTTGTGTTTCTTGTGTATATAGTTTGCACTTCTGTTTGTTTTTTTTTTCTCTATCGCTTTATCTTAGTCTAGGAATATGCATTCAGTCACTTTTGGAGTTACAATTATTACAAATAATAGACCTATCATGGAGGCTTAAACAATAAAAATTCTATGAGAAATCTGTAGTTAACAGCCATTGATGTTAAAGACATATTAATGCTAAGGGATGTCCAGGACTTAGGTTCCTTGTTTCATCTTTCTACCATGTGCATGACTTCTCTTCTTAAGGTCAAGTTAGGTGTTTTTTTCTGGTATTTTAAAACAATGTATCCACCTTGTAGGCAGCATGGCAAAAAGAAAGAAGAGAAAGCATTCCTATCTTTTTGAGATGTCCCATGATAGGTACCAGTGTCACTCCACACTCACATCATTGGAGATCACTAAGGCACACAACTACACCTAGTTCCCAGTGTGATTGTATGGTGTAAGGGTATCAGAGTTAGCTGGGTTCCAAAGGCTAAATTTAACATTGAACTTCATTGTCTAAGCAGAAAGGAAAGGGGATCTTTTAAGGAAAGTTCCTAGTCTCTAACCATAATTCTAATTTGTGATAAGAAAATTCTAACTTTTTTAACTGGCTAATGATCTTAAGTAACCCATTTCTTCCATTCACAATTTTTTCAAGTTTGTTAATACTTTACTCTCTAACTCATGGTGCACATTTATAAAAAAAAATACTTTGCAAAATTTTGTGCAGTAAAGAAATCACAATGATTTTCAAATTAATGTTTTATAAATTAACTTTAAGATAATTAATACTTTATTATTACAGAATTAAACAGTTAAAGAAGAAGAAAATGATATTATTTGGTTATTATTTGGAATAAACAGTTTCTGTTAGTAGATTTGAATTGAAATATTTGTCCATTTTTTTTAATAATTACAATTTGGATAGAATGATTACAGGAAACCCAAATCAGCACTGCAATTTAATAAGTGATAGAGAGCTATACTATAATGAAATGTAAAGTAAATGTGCTGCTTTTTGGTATTCCTCTCTTTTTTTTATTGGTTGTTCACAACATTACAAAGCTCTTGACATATTATATTTCATACATTAGAATCAAGTGGGTTATGAACTCCCATTTTTACCCCAAATACAGATTGCAGAATCACATCGGTTACACATCCACATTTTTACATACTGCCATATTAGTGACTATTGTATTCTGCTACCTTTCCTATCCTCTACTCTCTTAAACAGATTTTTAAAATCTGTACTTTTATAGTTTAATTTATTTATAAGAGTTATAATAGATTCAAGACTTTTATTTATTAAGTTTTTTGTTTTTTTTCCAAGACTCCGGTAGATGTATAAATGTTCTCATTTTAAAACTGTCATTTTTTTTTTCTCTCATGTGTGAGGGATTAATATAATTATAGCAACTAATCCCATAATTTGAGCCATTAATTAACACTTATATTAGGATAAAGTTGAATAATAATAGATGTCTTGGTGATTATTTTTATACTTTTGACCTATAATTTCATCCTACTTTTACTTTTAAAATTTTATAGTTGAACCTTCAGTTTCAAGTAAGTTATAATCTTTATCAGTTAAGTAAATACCTGAAATTTAAAGTACCATAGTGGTTAAGATAGTTTCCAATATTTCTTAAAGAGCTGCAGAAGCATATTTATCATATACCTGAGTGTTAATAAATAAGACATTAATTTACTTAAATAACTGTGAGCTCAAAAATAACTGTAAATATAGTAAGTTATCTTTTAGAGGTCAAGATTATCTAATTGTTGGAGGAAGGAAATAATATAACCAGGAAATCCTAGATACTTGTGAATTATTAAAAGTCAATTTTTAAAATTCCCCACAA